ATATTCATGCAAGTTAAGTGCGAAAGCTCATATGGCGGAATAATAAATTGAATTTGGCCCACAAGCCTGCACAATTGCATAAGTAGCTCCACGTGCTATGCCCATTTATGGCATGCTCCTCATTTATTCTCCCTCTCCCACTCTCGCTCTCTATAGCTCTCTCTCTCTCTCTCTCTCACTCTATCTCTGGGCTCTGCTTGATGTCAGATACAAATGTATCCAAGTCCCGCCACTCACGCAATATTCACCCGCTTCCTGTTTCATCCTGCAGAAAAGCATTTAGTGCTACTCTTGGCTGCCATTAAAGTCTTAGTTTCGAAATTAACTTGAGATATCATTTTCGTTAGATTCAATACAATTGAAATTTATATTACGGCAGCACTTTGGCAGAGGGCGTGACATGCCCTATAAGATATGTAATTAGGATAAATATGACGATGGATTTGGCTCTGTTTTGAATGTTTTAGCTAACTGATTTGATGACTGATTTTTAAATATCGAACCTTGGCTTAGAATTAATCAATGCATACTTTTATCAGGGGGAAAAAAAGTAAGGTATGGTATGGTATTTCCATATAAGTAATAATGAATTCTCAGGTGAATAAAACCCCTACTCCGCATTCGATCGCTCAAAAATAAGGAGTTAAAATAGCTCAGGGTAATGTTGAACACGATTTTGAGTGGGAATTTTCCTATATATATGCGGCAGTTCCGATTCAGTCGTTCCACCTTCCCCTCGGTCGTCAGTCGCCCAAAGCTCATCAGCTTCTTCGAGGTAAATATTAAATATTGATAATTCAATATATAAAGCAGAATCGTAATAGTATTTGTAGCTGTGGATTAACTATTATGCTAATGATCAATGTGATAATCACCTTAAAGTAAATATAATTGGCTAATATTTTTAAAATAAATATATTATTTATGCTTAAAATAAATAGTATGATTATAAACATATTGCTGAATTAAATCGTAGGCTTCGTATTAACACTAAGAGAATTAAACTGTGATTTTCGATATATAAGTAGTAATTAATTACAACTGTAAAATATATTCTACATAAATATATTGTTCCCTCGATATGCTCTATATATTTATACTGAGTCCTTTGAGGGCAATGCAAATATCCTGAAACAAACACTAAATGCAACAATAAAAAAACACGTTCCACATATGTTTTACTTTCACTATCATTTATCTCTATCAATTTATGATAAAAATTAAGTTAAATTTTTTTAAAAGATTAGGTGACGCAGATTTCTAGTAGGACGACATGCAGCACATTTCACAGGTGGTTTCGTAGACAACATTGGGACAATTTCAAGTGGATGGTAGCCTCAGCTAGTGCAGATTTGCCACGATACTGATTGGATTAGGACTAGGACAAAATGCAGCACAGTAGACAGTTAGCATCGTTGACAAGATCTGCAGACAGTTTTTTAGCCGAGGGCACCCTCATTTTCCAGTGCAGACTTTACGCCGCTTGTGGCGACAGCTTTTGGTGACTTTGCAGGCCTAGGGAGATATCACTTGAGTATTATATGTGAGTGGAATCCACCTGAATGACTATCTCACCTGGCGGCGATAGAAATCCTTCTTACACTCTGGCAGTCTACACCATGCTCTTGCTGCTTTCATGACCAACTCCTTGGGCTTGAGGCCGCAGTGCTTGCGTCGATAGGCCCGCAGGAAGTTCAAATAGCCATTGTTTGTGATTGGGCCGGGCTTCTGGCACTTGATTCTCTTCGGACAACATGGCCGGGGCTTCGGACAGCAGGGCCTCGGCTTCGGACAGCAGGGCCTCGGCTTCGGACAGCAACGCCTTTTGCGCTTCGGGCAGCACGGCTTTGGGCAACAGGGTTTCGGGCGGCGTTTCCTTGGTCTGGGACAACACGGCTTAGGGCAACAAGGCTTCGGCTTGCGGCAGCGTGGTTTGGGTTTCGGACAACATGGTTTCGGTGGGGGGCAACATGGCTTCGGCTTTGGACAGCATGGCGACGGACTGCTGGGTTGGGGGCAGCATGGCTTACGGCGACGCTTCTTAGGACAAGGTGATGGGCAGCATGGATTCTTCTTGCGCTTCTTGGGGCAACAGCCGTCGTCCTGGTCATCCGTATCATCCGCATCATCAGCATCATCCGCATCATCAGCATCACTAGCATCATCAGCATCGTCAGCATCGTCAGCATCGTCAGCATCATCAGAATCAGCATCATCCGCGTCATCCATGGCGTCCATGTCCTCGTCTTCATTCTCGCTGGCCTTATCGCTGCCATTCTCGCTCTCCTTGCTGCTGACATCATTATCATCCTCGCCATCGACCTGCATAAACCGATAGTTCCTCCGTTGAGATGGGGTCAGCCTGTTCCACATCTTGCCACCGGTTATCGCATCAGGTACGTCCAGCCCACGTGCCTGCGCTGCGTAATCTCGCATAAAGTTTACAAACCCATTGTTGGTCACGGGCCCTCTGAGAAAGCTCTTTTGAGCTAACAGAATCGCGCTATCGCCCATTTTCTGTTGAGAAAAATTATATTGAATAAAATAAATTGTATTAAAATAAATTATATTATTTTTTATTGAATAAAAAGTGTAGGACTAATATGAATAAACCTAAAATAGATAATATCTCTCAGAGAACTTCGCCTCTGAGCAATTGAAATGGCACCTGCCTTAATATCACAGACAGAAGCAGACTCGGAGAATGTTATAGCCCAAAGACCCCTATAATTTCCATTGTTTAAGGCGCAAATGAGTGGGAAGGGGAGTGGCAGAAAGAGATGTGGAATGTCATCTATGAGTCCTTTAAAGCTTTTCTCTTTAGTTGATGTGAGTTGGATTTCTCCTTATATTTAAACTATCCAAATATGTATTATATTCAGTTGAGGCATTTGGCTTTGATAAGAATATATACAGTCAGTCACAAAAGTATTCGTCTCTATGGGTCCCCTATTAAAGTTCGTTTCTGCTCGATATGTAACAATGAAATCAATCGATCGTTCTCACAAAATGGGGTAGATCAAATATTTATCTATCTATGAATATACGACAATTATTGTGCACAATGCTTTGCCTGACGTTATTGTTTCACTCGATGAAGCTCTTTTGCAGCTAATGGACTAAATTGTGAGAGAGAAGCTGTCAGATGACTGCAAAAGACGAGAGGCGCACTTCAAGGCTTACAAAGAAAAAATCGCTAAAGCCAAGTGGCTTATAATGGAGCAACCTGTGCTTGGAGAATATGTAGAGGAGAAGTGCATCAGACAGCTAGTTGTAAGGGGCTTTATGCTTTTGATTAAGAAATTGACAAGCAGCGGCAACATTTCCAGCTGAAGATGCGAGAGCTGGGTTGGAGCTGAAAGAGGAATTAACAGCACAGAGGGAGCCTGGCTGATGGCGCACTAGAGGTAAGTGCAGAGGGCGTTGAGCGATTATCATTAGCCGCCAGAATAGTTGCCATTTAGCACGCACAACGAGCAGCAGTGGCTGCACTGGCAGCAGCCGCAGCAGCAGCAGCAGCAGAGGCAATGCAACGTGCAGTTGCAACAATGTTTGACTAATTGTTTGCTGTTGTAGCAGCAAAGGTAGAAGCAGGAGAAGCATCAGAAGCAGGAGTAGCAGTGGTAGCAGCTCGACAGATGCAACAAAATTTGCATGCATTGAGCCCTTTGGCCACCCAACCACCCACTCGGCTGCACTGTCAACTGTTGTTGTTGTTGTTGCTGCTGCTGTCTGGTTTGCTGCACGTAGCCGTGCAGTGGCAGCAACTGCAGCAGTAATTGCAACAAACAATTAGCGTCACTTGGATTTATGTTTACGAGCGGCTGCCTCGGCATTATCCCGGCAGAGCCAAAGCCCACACACAGAGCACCCTTCACTTTACTGTTGATGTTGCGTGCGTGTGCAAAGAGAGAGTTGCCTCAATCACAAACTTTTGCTCAAAAAAAACAAAAAAAAAAAAAAAAAAAAAAAAAAATCCATTTATATTATATTGAACTTACCTATTTTTTTTGTTTTATAAATATTTATCTTGATACAATTTTAGAGCACATATACAAAATTTATTACACAAATTTCCAAACACAAACTAAAGGGATATAAAATTAAAAAAAAAAATCGGTTGTTTGTTTCACGAGCTGTGACTAAATACTGAACTACTTAGAAAATGAGTTCCGGTAGCTGCTGTGGGTCACCGATTGATAAAGCATGGAGTACTATGTTTTTAGATTATTTATGATTTAGACTTAAAATATGAAACCCAGCTACTTTGATTGAACTGGTTTCAGTATACCCCGTACTCACGGTAATGGGAGTTTAAGTTCATGTTTGTTGTCTGTCTGTAAACTTGAAATTCTTGACCACAAAATTTAATATCAACAATGGCAAATTGTGGAGATTTATGAAATATACTCTTTTGTTTGTCTTTATATATCGTATTGGATTTTCTGATTGCTCAACTCATTTGCTTATAAGCGGATCTTAAATGCCGAAAGAACTTGGGATGTCAAGAGTGGAATAATTACCCTATTAGTTATTATAGTCCCCCGATTTTGAGTCAACCTGCATGTTATAACCCTGGGAATACCAAATAAGGGTTTAATATAATAGTTTTACTACTCGATATGAGAATGATTTCTGTCGTACTAATTTGTATTGGACTACATCATCCATGGCTTCTAAGGACGTGGGACTAAAGCGCCAACATAGGAAGTTTTTAGCTGCGCTCCTCGCCATTCTCAAAAGCTTTCCACCTACGCGTAAATTAAAATTGAATTTGTCGTCTTTCAGAGCAGTTATACGTGAGCTGAATAGCAATTTAGTTTTTAAAACATATCGGGATGTTTATGTATATTAATATTGACAAATAATCATATTAAGTACTTAGATCAGCACTTGTAGATAAAACACTTCCTTTGATTATCTTGACGAAGGTCTATGAAGCACTATAAAAGAGTTTTCGATCTATCAACAACTCTTCAGACAAATAAAACCAATTCAACTTATTCTTTTAATTTTTATTCATGTGTAGTAGTGGACGTCTTAGTGTGAAAATAATGCTAACAATAAAAATAACAATGAATTTTGAAAAATATTCTCAGCAATGCAAAGATCGAGCGTCTTGCTTTACATTTGAATGCGCTTTGAGTAGCATTCGTTATTTGAGCGGCTTATTGTCGATAGTGAAGGGCATTGCTTCGAATGGACAGACGTACAGATTTATATCCAACTAGGCATAAACAGAACAGCGATTGCTAGTTCAATTTTATGGCGATTAGAATTCTTCTTCTTCTTCTTCTTCTTCAGGTATCAGTAGCTCGCAGCTTGTAAGAATTACGGTTGTCTCTGTGCCCTCTTGATGCGCCCCCCATTTGCGAATTAAGGTAGATTCTATATAATTGCAGCTAGCTCGTTCACCTTTGATAGAAATCGAGTCGGCCAATTGGATTTACTCTCGTTTCATAAAGATCAAGCCCAGGTCTTTGCGATCTTTGTGAAGTTAAACTCAAGCTGCCATTCTGATTGTGCTGCAAAAAAATCAGAATAATGAGAACGACTTTTCATATCCCAATCCATCCCTGAGCTGCCGCCAGCTAAGCCCGTTGATTTATGAATTGGACGCGATTGCAACATCAACGCCTCGACCCAACCAAGCCAAGGCAAGGCAAGGCAAGTGGAGCTAAGCCAGGCGCCAGCAATTGCTTGTAATGAATGTTGTTGCACCATGTAAATGACGTCATTACATGGCAGTGGGGCGTGGCAGGCGTCCAGCTGAAGGCGGCTTTACAGTATATACGATAGCTCGCGCGCGCCTCCGTATTTATCCAGCTAAAATGATTTCTATTTTATTTTTCACTTACCTCAGTTGTAGCAGTTCGACTTAAAGTGAAAGCATCTAAAAAGAAAAGTTCAGACTTACAAAAAAAAATATATATATATATTATTCTTTCATAGGAAAACGTTATGAACTATCCGTGTGTTAAATTTATACTAAAAATTTATGAAAAACTCAGGGCTAAGCTGTGCCCAGTGGTGATTGATAAATCGTGGGCTGCTATGTGAAGAGAAGAAAATTATATAAAAAACCGAAATATAAATATTGTGTATATATTCCTGTTGTATCAAATAAGGATTGATGTCATGATCTACAAAAGCCGAATTACATATATTTACATATATTGTCTATATTCAGATTCATACAGTTTTAGTGGATCCATAGATTCATAGAGAGATTTTCTATTTATCAATTGTTGAGAACAGCAAAGAAATCGTTTATGCCAATCAGGCATAAAAACAACAGAAGCAACAAGAAAGGCAAAAACTATTAGAAACTCGGTTCGTTTTGATTGGATTGAATTGGTTGGGTATTGTGGTTCGACTTCGGCGTCGGCTTCCGTGCGACGCCGCCGGATATAAGGAGCACATCCTGTGCGAGCGTGTGCTGTGGTCTGTGCCTTGGCCTCAGCCAGCGCTTAAATTATGTGCGAGATTGAGAGAGGGAGAGAGAGGAGAAAAACCTTTTCCACTTTTTACACTATGAAGTTTTTTCTGATTCGACTCCTGCAGCTGTTTATTAAAATTGTAAGCCGCAGGCTCTGCGATTAAAACACACACACACACACACACACAGGGCTCGAAAGGATATTGGATACATGATTCAGTATTCAAGATTTCATGTATGCCAGACGGTTTTCTATTATCTCTAAAATGTTATGATTTATTATATGCGGGTTCAAGTTTATGTTTGGGCCATAAATTGTCTGCCCCCAAGGGGGAATCAGAGACGCTGCCGGTTCTTGTCCATAGTCAGAGTCAGAGTCAGCCTTTGGCTGCTCTCTCTCTCTCTATCTCTCTCTCCCTCTCTCTCTCTACCGGCAGCAGTTAAGCCAATTAATTGGCCTTAGATTTATTAGTTTTATTTTTTCACAACCCTTTTTGCCTTGCAACTCTTTAATAGTGAGGCGCGTATGTGTTTTGATTTATTGCGCGAACTATTTCAGCCGAAAACGGAAGTTTAGCTCCTTTGGCACGCACACAGACAAAGCCAGGTAATAATAGTACATGTGTGTGGGTGTATGACTCTCCCTCTTTATGTGTGAGTTCGTTTGCCCGGAAGGCGTGGCATTTGCATATAAATAGATATGTCACCTAAAATATTAGATACATGCGAATTGCCTCGCTTCGCTGAGCCTTCGAGCCAGACAAGTTGTTGCGTGTTCACTCAGCAACAACAACAACAACAACAATAACAACACCAAGGGCGATAATAATAGCAGCAATAGTGGGAGTAAAGACGGTTTTCCATTAAATTAGTCTAAGTGTCAAATGTGACACACAAAATGCTGCTGACACTCATCTTAGCCATTCATTGTATCTAAATTATTAACTAGGTCAAAAGGCAGCACGCGATATTTTTTTTGTTTTTTTTTGTTTTGGTGTTTTTATTAAGAGTCCCGTAAGGAACTGTCACAAGCCAAATGTGAGAAGCGCAATTTATGGGATAAGTTGTCTAAAATATGAAAAATATAAATAATTGCTATAAGTAAATGTTGAATTGAAAATGTATTTTATTTAATTACTTTGAGTGGAAACCCAGATCAAATTGAAGAAAGACAAATTTGTCTAAACTCTTGTAATTCTCTTTTAATGTTATATCATTATTTATATTACCGGAATTACTTGTTCATTTTTAATCATGTGAGGTAGATTAAGAATATTATAAAATAACTTTCTAGATAAAAATTTTAAATTATGGAATACAAAACATTATTTTACGCATAATTCAAACTACTTATTTTAAACTCTATGTTTGCAAATAATAAAATAAAAATAATAAAAAAAAACATTATTTCATTTTGCGCTTTAGAAAAAAAAGGTTTCCTAGTTTATATTTTATAGCTAACTTATTAAATTTTTTTTGGGAATTTTTTGAAATTTTTTATAATTGATAAATATAAATGGTGAAACATCTTTCATAGCTTAAGTTCCCTTATACTTTTATTCTTTAAACTATTATACTGTACTATATTTATTATTAGTTATACACCAAATTCTATGAAATGTACCAAAAATCTCTAGACACTCAGTGCAAACCCCTTTTTGGCCTTCGTCTTATTGCACCTAATTGAAATACATTTTTTGTTGTCCATTTTCTGCACTTGTTATGCTTTTGGCTTTCAACACAAATGTCACATGTGCGTATGCGTGTGTGTGTGTGTGCTTGTGTGCGTGAGCGTAATGCATGCTCAATAGCTTAAATTATGCGTGCGTGTGGAATATGCAATTTGAATGTGAAATAGTTGACATTGGCCACACACGGGCAGAGCCACAAAACAGAACAGAGCAGAGAAGAACAGAGCGGAGCAGAGAAGAGCAGAGCAAAGCAGAGCAGAGCAAAAGCAGAACCGCGCGGCACGAGCCAATTGCACAAAATCAACGCAAAAACCTCAGCAGCATTTAGCAGCGATGCATAAATCATGGAATACTTAACAGTGCACACGCACACACACTACACAAACACACACACACACACACACACACACACTATACGCATATAAATTGGTTGGATGTCCTGCTGCGTAACTGGCTCGCGGTTGTTTTGATTTCGTTTGCAACCTTTAATTAGAAATAGTGCCACATTCTAAATGAGCCGAGGCTACACACCGGGCCGCAGCAAAAACAAATTAAATATTGAAAAACGGAATAATAATTATGATGGCAATCGAAATGGACTGGGGCAGGTGGTTGCAGTTGGGGATATGGGGATATGGGGAGTGCGACCACAGTCATATATATTCATTTTTGCATTTATGCACAAAATTAACTAATTTAAGTGACATACGAAATATTTGGTTGCATTTCGGTCAGCTGCTACAAAAACCAAACGACAAATTCGTGGCATTGCATTGAATTGCCCGCCAATCGAGTTATAATTGACTTAGTTCCTGCAATATAGAACAGCGTGTGCACATTCAGTATTCACTATTCACTATTCACTATTCGGTATTCAGTATTCAGCATTCAGTATTCAGTATTCAGTATTCTGTGCGTACACATCAAAACATGATAAACAGATTCATGCTGCAGCCATCAATTACTAATTAAAATTGTATAAGTATGTTTTAATTGCCGGCGATTGATGTAGTAGATGTCAAATACATACATATATACAAACATAGATAGTTTTAGAGGTATCTATAACGCATAAAATAGATGTTGTTGCCGATTACAATATTCCACCTACAAGGTTTTAATAATTAAATATATTATTTTCGATAACAATATTTCAGCTATTGATAAAATTATTGTACACTTCGGATTAATTCAATCAGACTTTCCATTCAATCATGTAACGTGCTCTCTCGAAAATACCAAAATAATTATTTTTGGCTGAGTTTGCAGAGCATCCAATGTGAATTAGCATTTGATATCACAGGTAAGAGGCATGAAGAGCTTGAAATTGTACACCAAATTCTTGCTTTGAGGGAACAAAATTATAATCGAATGCATAAAAAAATAAATAATAATAATAACAATAATAATAATAACAATAATAATAATATTAGTAATAATAATGTCTAAAAATGTTTTTCTATTTTGATATATAATTGCTTTTGCCATGGCTATTATTTTACCCCCTATATTAATAAACTTTTACTTTCTGAAAACAACAATTTAAATGATTATTAATTGAAACGATTTTTTTTTTTTAATTTTATTATGATTTTTTTTTTTTTTGGTAATAATAATTTTAATTTAATTTAATTTAAATAAGTACATTTGTAGATATATTTTTTAAATTGTATTTAAAAACTTTTGAGCAGCCTTAAACGTTAATTGCTTTAATTCTCTAAATACCACATTGTTAATAAAAAAAAAAGTGAGAATAATTTATATTTTGTTTAGCGAAATATATATTTAATAGATTTTATCGTGTGTTATTTAATATTTGCTCAATATTATTCACAATTTCACCTTTGTTATTGATAAAATAAGAAGAAGTCTATCTGCTCAACATTTTATTAGATTGTATGAGCTATTAAAAGACTTTAAACCAACATTGCGAAATGCAGCTGTAAGTTATATTTATATATATAATATTTATTATTTACCAAATTTATTAATTTTTCTAAAAATTTTCCATATTTTTAACATGTTTTGTATTATTTTATGTAACATTTTTAGCATTTATTTTATTTCAAAATGCTACTAAATAACTCCCTGAGCATAGCACATTGGCATAGAATTTTCCAAGACAAATTTCGTAGCCCGAGAGCAAGATGAATAGTGACTTGGCAATAAGAATGCCTTCGTGACTTCAGCATGATTCAGTTACGCAGGCAATGCAAAGACAAACGATTAGCACGGCCACTTCAAGCTTCACTGGCAGACAGAAGAATTTGCGCTCGTTGGGACTGCGGCGTCTGAGCTGAGCTGCAGGTTAATTGAGTAAGAAATATGCTCACAATCTGGTATGGTATCTGAGCTATGAGACAATGCGGAGCAACAAAGCAATGCAGCTCAGCTGTGCGATATTGTCTGCAAATGAGGGCTAAGCGATATGGATTTAGAAGCAATGCCGCAGATGCTTTCGTTGGCCTACAAAACAGAAATTAACAAAAGAAATAAGCTTAACATTTCCTGCCTCAATGCCAGTCAACCGAGAGCATATGGAAGAGAACAACAAAACAAATACTAGAAAAATGCCAGCTAATAGCCAAAGTCTATTGTCATAGTTGGTTAGATCGTGACCGGGGTCTACTCTCGAAAGACATTCCAATAACTGTACAACATCCGGCCGGGCCACACAATGCCAAAAACGTTTCCAATTTCAATGGCGAAATATTTCTATTTGAACATGAAAATATTTTTAGCAGCAGTTAATATGAGTGCACGTGTGTGTGTGTGCACGCGAATGTGAGCGTATGAGTGTATATGTGTGTGTATATAGAGATCTAAACGACTTTTCACCTGGCAACGACGAGATAACACAATGGCAAAAAAAAAAAAAAAAAAATAGAAGCTTAGCCTATGTGACTGAGCGACTCAACGGTACCCTAAGTACGACGAAAAGCTGCTTTATATCTCTCCTCATATTCGCTTCATGTTATAAATATTATTTAAGGGAAAATACATGT